AAGAAGAAGAAGAAGAAGAAGAAGAAGAAACATCCCCTAAGTGCTGAATTCGCTGTCCTTCAGCGAATTCAGCACTTATCCTTTGTGGGACGATTTGACATTAGGACAGGCTAGAGCAGCCAGCAGGAGAAAACCGAGGAGAGGCTTAATGTCTCCCTGGGTGCAAACATCCCCTGCTTACCAATTTACCAACCTTCCAGGTGACTACAGGGCTTTCACAAGAATCCCGTAGAAGCTATCCACACCTTGATCGAGTCTTGACTCTTCTATGGACTGGTGCTACTAGGCCGGAGTCTCTTTCTTGGTGCTGGAGGGAGACTCCAACTCAGATCCCAGCCGAGAGACCATGAGGGTAAACCATCTAGACATCACACAGAGTGAAATCCGCAGCACTCTGGTGTCTGTACTGTCCCCTTCACTTCTATTGGCATTGTCACACTTTTACAGGTAATGAGAGCCAGCTCAAGAGGTGACACGATATACCCAAGGTCGCAATATTGGGAGGCGGTGTTTCTGAAGCTCCCCTCGCTGGGGCTGAAATGCTCAGAGCAAGCCAAGAGCCAGGCCCAGGAAGACCTTGGGTTGGACTGAAATGTCAATTCCTAGAACATCAGAGCATCTCTGAATTCTTTTCTTAGAAGTAAAAATCTGGTGTTTCACACTACATACACACTCAGAAGGGACAAGGGGTAAAAACTGAAGAAATCTGTGGAAGTGGCATGCACCTGTAATCCTAGCCATGGAGGGGGAGAGGATCAGGGCTTCGAGGCCAATATGGGGGCTGGAGAGATGGCTTAGAGGTTAAGAGCATTGGGTGCTCCTTCAGAGGACCCTGGTTCAATTCCCAGTACCCACAAGGCAGCTCACAATTGTCTGTAACTCCAGCTCCAAGGGATCCAATATCCTCACACATACATGCAAGGAAAACACCAATGCACATGAAAAATAAAGAGGAGTCAAGGCCAGTGCCGGATTCATCAAAAAAAAAAAAAATGAAGCACCTGCCTTTAAGCCCAGCACTAGGGAGGCAGAGGCGGGTGAATCTCTGTGAGTTTGAGGCCATCCCGGTCTATAGAGAGAGTTTCAGGACATCCAGGGCTGTTACACAGAGAAATGCTGTCTCGAAAAACCAAATATATATATATATATATATATATGTATATGTATATGCATATTCATATATATATGAATGATAAAACAAAATGTGGAATGGCCACATAATGGAATATTATTCAATCTTCAAAAATGAAAAATTCTGAAGGAAAAAAGGAAAGCATGCTGTAGTCTTACTATTACCCAGCCTACCACCCCTGGCAGTATACTTAATAAACTTACTTTCTTGCAAAAAAAAAAATAAACTTACTAAGGAAACCTTGACACATTATAACACAGATGAAGCTTACACTACATAGAGTGAAATAAGCCAGTCAACAAAGGATAGCTGTTGGTTCATCCTGGTTATATGAAATTCCTAGGCTAGTCAAATTCAAAGATACAGAAAGAATCCAGGCAGTGGTGATGCACACCTTTAATCCCAGCACTTGGGAGGTAGAGGCAGGTGAATCTCAGTGAGTTCGAGGCCAGCCTGGTCTACAGAGTGAGTTCCAGGACAGTCTCCAAAGCCACAGAGAAACCCTGCTTTCAAAAAAAAAAAAAGCAAAAAATACAGACAGCAGCGAGGAGACAGATGTTGCGAAGTCCAACTTAATGGGACAGGGTTTCCCCAGATGAGGTGAGGGAAGTTGAGCAAGAATCTTGTGCTGATGAGATGGCTTGGGCAAGCCTGGGACCTGAGCTTGATCCCAGGACTGAGGTAAAGAAGAGGGAACGCCATCTCCTGCCCTCCACTTCAGAATGTGCCCCCTCACAATAAGACAGAGCCTTTAAGGGACAACTTGTCCTTTCCGATTCTAAACAGACCATTCCCCAATGTTTTACCTGTCCTAAGCAATCTGTCCTCAAATAAGTCATTTATTTTTCTACTGTGGAAATTAATAACGAGAAGATATATTATGTGGAAAAAACATTTTAACATTCACTTATCTTTATTTCACTTGTCTGAGTGTTTTGCCTCCATGGAAGTATGTTCACGGGGCGATTAGGCCAGAAGAGGGCGCTGGGTCACCCAAAACCAGAATTAGGAGTGGTTTTGAGTCACATGTCCTTGCTAAGACTGAACTCTGAACCTCTGTAAGAGCAGCAAGCATTCTCTCCAGCCCCAAGCAAGGGGAAATTGTCTTAAGTAAAAGGTCTAACAGTGTATACGAATAAATAAATAGAAAATTTAAAAGTAGGGGCGGGAGAGATGGCTCAGAGGTTAAGAGCACTAACTGCTCTTCCAGGGGCCCTGAGTTCAATTCCCAGCAACCACATGGTGGCTCACAACCATCTACAATTCAATCTGGTGTCCTCTTCCGGCATATAGACAGAACACTGTATATGTAATAAATAATAAATCTTTAAAAAAAAAACATGCTAAGAAGGTCAAAGTGGGTTGGGTGTTGGTGGCGCATGCCTTTAATCCCAGCACTCAAGAGGCAGAGGCAGTTGGATCTCTGTGAGTTCGAGGCCAGCCTAATCTACAGACTGAGTTCCAGGACTGGATCCAAAGCTACAGAGAAACCCTGTCTCAAAAAACAAAAACAAAACAACACCTGCATCCTTAGTCCCAGAGGCTAAGGCCTGAGGATTGCCGTGACTTTGAAGCCAACCAGCACACACACACACACACACTCACACTCACACACATACACACACTCACACACACTCACACACACACTCACACATACACACACACTCATACTCACACACACACACTCACACACAGAGAGAGAGAGAGAGAGAAAATGCCTCTGAATGGTTCAAGCTCCCATTTGCTCTGTTTTGTTCTGTGACTGACATTTTTTAAGGTGTTTTTTTTTTTTTTTTTATGTATGGCTGTTTGGCCTGCACGTATGTCTGTGAACCACGTGCATGCCTGATGCCTGTGAAGGCCAAGAGGCCATCGGGTTTCCTAGAACTAAAGTTACAGAGAATCCTAAGACACCATGTGGGATGGAAATTGAACCCTGGACCTCTGGAAGAACAACCTATACCAACTGCTGAGTCATTTCTCCAGCCTGAAACTAGAACATAAAAAAAATGATTTGTGTGTGCTCATATGTACAAAAGTGTCTACAGAGGCTGGAGAGGAGCGCTGACCCCCTGCAGCTGGCGTCCCAGGCATTGGTGTGCCACCCTGTATGAGTGGTCTGACGAGCAGTGTCTTGGTTAGTTCCACTGCTATGGCAAAACACCATGACCAAGGCAACTTGCAGAGGAAAGTATATACTGGGGGATCATGGTTCCAGAAGGTTAGTGTCCATAATGATGGGGACAGTGTTGCGGCACGGCAGTTTCATATCTAGAACCACAAACAGGACAGAGAGATCACACTCAAAACAGTGAGTCTTTAAACGCCCAAAGCCCACCTCCAGTGGCATGCTTCCTCCAAGGCCATGCCTCCTAAGCCTATCCAAACTCCACCACCACCAGAGAGCAAACACTCAAATGCCAGAGACTACAGAGAATACTCTTACTCAAACAAGTATGATGTGCTCCTAACTGGGGGCCATCTGTCCCCCCCCCAGCTGAAAATTCTTTCTTTTTTTTCTGTTTTGTTTTGTTTGGTTTTTTGTTTTCTGGTTTTTTGTTTTTGTTTGTTTGTTTTTTTTTTTTTTTTTGAGACAGGGTTTCTCTGTATTTGGAGGCTGTCCTGGAACTAGCTCTTGTAGAACAGGCTGGCCTCGAACTCACAGAGATCCTCCTGCCTCTGCCTCCTGAGTGCTGGTATTAAAGGCGTGCGCCACCAACGCCCGGCTGAAAAATCTTTCTTAAGGATTTATTTACTTATTATGTAGAGTGTTCTGCCTGCATGAATACCTGTTCACCAGAAGAGGGCATCAGATCTCATTACAGATGGTTGTGAGCCACCATGTGGTTGCTGGGAAATGAACCCAGGACCTCTGGGAGAGCATCAGTGCTCCTAACATCTGATTCATCTCTCCAGCCCACAAAGCTGAAATGTAATATTATGCATACAAGGAGTGGGAGAACCAGGATCCCACTCCTAAACACCCCCAAATCTGTTTCTGATGTGCTGCTTGACTGTCAATCTCACAATTTACCCTTCCTAGGGTTGTAGGTCACCCAGTTTCTAGAACTGGGCCCAGAAATGGGCCTGTAGATGCCAGGGGCCTAAAGAGAACCCTTCTATTGAGATCAAGGACAGAGCTCACTCACTCAGTATATTTTCCCAGTGAGTCCCTGTGTGTGTGTGTGTGTGTGTGTGTGTGTGTGTGTGTGTGTGTGTGTAGGTGCACACATGCCGTGGTGTGCATAAACAAGTCAGGTAGGGGTCTCTCTTTGTTGTTTTTCCAGTGTGTATGCTAGGCTAATCCGCCCATGGGCCTTAGGGATTCCTCTATCTCCACCCCTCATCTCCCCATAGGATTACAGACACTCAGTATGTATCTGGCTTTTTATATGGGTCCTGGGGATTTGAATTTAGGTCCTCAAACTTACATAGCAAGGATTCTTACCCATTGAGCCACCTCCCCAGGCCTGAGATGCTGTAACACTGACCTTGGTTTTAGCCTGCCTTGGGGAACCACCCCACTTGGCTGGTAGATAGCCATCTATCTAGATCTGAGAGCTACAGAAAGAGCTACAAGCCGCAGCAGGGCCCAGTGGGGCATGCCTGAGCAGTTCAAGTTCATCCTTGGATACATTGTGAGGTCCAGGTCAACCTGGGTCACATGAGACCCTGTCGCAAACACACACACACACACACACACACACACACACACACAGCCACACTCCAAGTGATGGGTACTCACAGGGTGTTCACCTCCAGGAAGCCAGTGTCTCCCGTAGGCAAAGTGAGGCCAGTTGAGGCCAGGACACCTGGACATCAAGGGGACCAGCAGGAAAAACGAGCTTACATGGGGACGGACGGGAAGTACAGGGCCCTGAGTTTTATTCACATATTCCTCTCAGTATCTCTTCCCCCTCCACCCTGGAGTTCCACCCCCAGGAGGTAAATGGGCCAGGCCAGGCCTGGACCCTCCCATCTGCCCAAGCCAGGAGACCGCAGTCACTTCCGTCTGGTCAGGTTTCAGCCTCATGGGGAGGGCCTCCATCTCTCGGGCACTGCCTCCTCAGCACTGTAGAGTACCGTTCCCTTCTGAGTGGTCAGTCAGCAGGGCTTCTAGTGGGACGGACGGAGCTGAGGAACCTGAGGCTCTGACCAGGTCGGCGGTGGGACCTGTGCTGGCAAGGCCTGAAAGGTGAATGCAGAGGTGTCGGGACAGATGAATGGGAACATGTCAGGAGGTCACTCGGGGATAGGTGGGGCCCAGTATTAGCCTCAATCCCTCCCGCACCTTGGAGTGGGGGCCACCTTCCTGGGTAGAATGGGGTAGGTGGCAAGGAGTGTCAAAGTTGGGGGGTTACTCTGTCAGGGCCAGAGCTCCCCATCTTGATAGGATCTGTCCCACCTGGACACCGCCCACCCCAGGTTGGGACACACCCTGGACCCTACCAGGCCGGATGGGCTGGTGGCTGACAGATGTCGGTGCTGGGCTCCACAGGACACAGAGGACCAGAGGTCAAGACTCTTGGGGACACAGCTTTTCTCAGACTTTGGAGGGAGGATGTCCCAGCCCAGTAGACAGTGCTGTGGAGAGCAAAGGTTAAAGCCATCCCCAACTATGGAAAAGGCTCCTGAGCAGCCATGACCCCCTCCCCGGAGCAGCAGACAATATACCCATTGGTTATCCTAGGTCACCCCAATCTCAGTCCCTACTGACCTGGCCACCCCAACCCCCTCCCCAAGATGGGTGAGAGGATGTGGATCTTAACGGAGTCCTTTCCACGATGGACTTGGCCCTGAATACCTAAGCTGCATGACTTCCAAACCATCCTCGAGACCCTGAGGGGGAATGTCCTTCTGTATGCTGCCAATATATGTTTCTCTTATTATTTGATAAATAAATGCTAATTGGCCATTAGCCAGGCAGGAAATATAGACGGGGCTACCAGACTAGGAGAATTCTGGGAAGGGGAAAGACAGACAGTCGATAGAGAGATACCATGTAGCCACCAGGAAAGTAGGATGCTGGGATATTCTCTGGTAAACCAGGACTACATGGACCACATGGACATACATAGATGGACAGAGATGGGTTAATAATTAAGAGAGCTAACCACTGGAAGTTGGTGGTGCATGCCTTTAATCCCAGCACTCAGGAGGCAGAGGCAGGTGGATCTCTGTGAGTTTCGATGCCAGCCTGGTCTACAGAGCGAGTGTCAGGATAGGCTCAAAGCTACACGAATCCTATCTCGGAGGGGGGGGGGAGGAGGGAGGGGGAGGGAGGAGAGAGAGAGAGAGAGAGAAAGAGAGAGAGAGAGAGAGAGAAAGAGAGAGAGAGAGAGAGAGAGAGAGAGGGAGAGAGGGAGAGAGGGAGAGAGAAAGAGAGAGAGAGCTAGCCAATAAGAAGCCTTAGTCATTGGCCAAACAGTTTATAATTAATATAAGCCTCCGTGTGTTTATTTGGGACCAAACAGCTATGGGCCTCTGGGACAGGAACCCAGATAGGAGGAAGTTCCCTTTCCACCCACTCTCCAGAGGAACCACAGGGTCTTTCCCCTCTTCTCTTGTCCCAGTTGTCCTTCACCCCGTGTGGGCTGGACTCCCACCCTGACTAGGAAACGGGACGCACGATGGAAACATAAAGGTCTGGGTTCATCTCTCCTCCCAGCTCCGCTCTGCCTCTGTGGCCAGTGTGGGGTGGGTAAGACGGTGGCCGCTGGGGCTCTGGGAAACGTCCCTCCTAAGGGCGCTGCATGTGACACCCAAGAGCTCAGTGGACAGGGCCCATGCAGACACCCGCCTCAGACAGCATGCGGGGGACAGGCTCCACACCACCCCAGGTGAAGCCAGGGGTCCCGGCTAGCATCCAAGAGCCTTGGAGCAAGCTCTCTTCGAGGCTAGCTCGGGATCCTGCCCACACACGCCGGCGGTCTAGCCTCTTCAGGCAGGCGGCTTACCCGAGGCAGAGCCAGAGTGTCAGACGCGTCAAAGCTTTTCCGTCTATGAATCCGATACCGGTGTGGGGGGTCCAGGATGGACAGTGGGATGCTCACCCTGTGCAAGGGGCACAGCATCAAACTCAGAGGGGGCCACAGTCTGCACCGCACCCTACCCTAGCCGCAACCGTCCACGGGGACCTCTCAGGAATTCCAATGCACTCACCTGACTTGCGCGGGCTCGGCCAGAGTCTCAGGGCCCTGTTGGTCTCGGGGTATCCCACACAGGCGGCAAGGGGTACCCGGATCGGCGGGCACAGGAAACAAGCGCTGGTTGACACGGTAACAGTATACACCTGGGAGGTCCATGATACCACAGTTCCCCCTAAGCCACGGGATTTGTTGCCAGGGTCTCTGGCTGTCCCTAGTCACACAAGCCATGCCATCCATTGAGGAGCGACTCTGTGCCACTTTTTTCCCAAGCCCTTCCCTCCCAAAGTCTTGGGTCCACACCTAAGTTCAGGGAGAAATGTCTCTCAGGGGCACTGAGAGCTACACCCTGCCATCTCTGAAAGCTGCTACAGGGAGGGAGGTGATTACGAAGGGCAGGGCCTAAGCCAGCCAGAGCCCCGGCAGAGTGGATCCCTCCCACACCGCTCAGACACCAGGCTGCCGTCCCCGAGTCGCCAGCTCAGGGTGACCGGTGTAAGTGTACACTCACACTGGTGGCTCTCTTCCACACCACTGCTCTCCTGCAGGCCTGGGAACACAGCTCTGGGGGCGGGGACAGGAGAGAAGATGAGCAGGATGAGTGATAGAGTCCCCTACCCACCCTCCACACTCCTCGGACACCCCTGCTTACTCAGGGGAGTTGCAAATGCAATCTTCTTTGTTGTCTTCTCGAAACTTCTGAAGCTCGGAGAAGAAGGCCTCGGGTTTACTGGTGACTGGAGAGTTACTGTCCAGGGACCCTGGGGTGGGTGGGCAGAGCATTGGTGGGTGAGTTAAGGCTAGATGGGCTGGGGACCCCACCTCATCCCTAAGACTCTTAGGATACACAGCTGGGTGGTGGTGCACGCCTTTAACCCCAGCACTCAGGAGGCAGAGGCAGGTGGATCTCAGAGTTCCAGGCCAGCCTGGTCTACAGAGTAAATTCCAGGACAGCCAGGGCTACACAGAGAAACCCTGTCTCAGAAAACAAACAAGAGCACTGGCTGCTCTAGCAGAGATTCAGTGCCCGCCTCCCGCAGGGTGGCTCACAACCGTCTATAACTCCAATTCCAGATTCTGATGCCCGCTTCAACCATCTATAACTCAATTCCAGACTCTGATGCCCGCCTCAACCGTCTATAACTCAATTCCAGACTCTGATGCCCGCCTCAACCGTCTATAACTCAATTCCAGACTCTGATGCCCGCCTCAACCGTCTATAACTCAATTCCAGACCCTGATGCCCGCCTCAACCGTCTATAACTCAATTCCAGACTCTGATGCCCGCCTCAACCGTCTATAACTCAATTCCAGACTCTGATGCCTGCCTCAACCATCTATAACTCAATTCCAGACTCTGATGCCCGCTTCAACTGTCTATAACTCCAATTCCAGACTCTGATGCCTGCTTCAACCGTCTATAACTCAATTCCAGACTCTGATGCTCGCTTCTGGCCTCCACAGGTATTTGACATGTACACAATGCACAGACATACATACAGGCAAACACACACACACACAAACACACACACACACACACACACCAATAGTTAAAACTGAAAACAAAAAGCTAAAATGACAACACTTCTGCTGCATGTGTTTTAACACTCAGCTGACAGTAATGAGGCAGAAGAGGCCAGCAGGAGGACAGGAGCCCTGAGGTGCCAGGAGGAGAGCAGTGGAGTGGAGATGCTCCCACCAGTGTTGGGCAGAGGCCTGGCCTCTACCAACACTGAAATATGGAGCGGCCCTGGCTCACTCACTCATTCAGCTTCATGTGCCGTCAGGATAAGATTAATCCAACCCCGCCCCTCACCTGCAATCCAATCATAGCCCAGGTATGGCCGGAAGCGCCAGCTGCTCTCAGGCACTGCAGACTCCTGGGAGAAGGTCACTTTGGGCTGAGGAAGCAGACGAGGGCAAGGTTAGATCAGTGGGCCCGGCCCAGAGGCGGCCCCCATGTCAGGGGAACAATGCATTGTGTCTTGGCTTAGACTCTAGGCCACTGAGCTCCCTCAGCCAGGGAGCTCAGAAACTGGAGGGTAAGTCTGGCCCCACTTTGGGTGTGGCTGTGAACAAGCCTGGGCTCCAGTCCTTCCGCCAGCATAATACGGTTTGCCTCCTCCTTCCCAAAGTGCTAAGAACTAAGAGCAGTAACTGGACACACCTCACTGGACCCTCTAGAAGCCTCACCTCCTACAAGGGAGGCTTGTCCAAGACCAATTTATCAGACAGGGCTACTGAGGCTCAAAAAGGTCCCCAGGATTTCCAGGCACTCCCAAGTTACCTTAGATGACTTGCTTGGTCGTGACAGGATAGACTTTGGGACATGTGTCTTGTGAGGTCCCAGACCTCTTGGTGGTCCCTTCAGACCTTCAGTGTCGAGCAAGGGTACTGAGGGAGGCCACACTCCATCCTGGGGCTCTCGGTGTTGGCATGTGGCAGGTAAGTTCGCCCTGTGGTTGTCCTTGTCATACCAAGATATATCAGATGTGTCTCCTCGAGAACTGTCCAATGCGTCCCACACGTGTCTTTTGTCCTGTGAGCTTGGGGACACTGAGGAGGTGCAAGAACTCTCTTGGGACAGTGGCATCTCTAAGTTGCTGCTGCTGCTATAGTCCAGGTTTGGCTGCAAGGAACAGGTTAGGTTACCCAAGGAGTAGCCTGGCCAGTGCCTAGCCACTCTGGCTTGCTCTGGACACATAGGTCTTTGTCCTGCTGTGGCCTCTGGGTGTCCCAGCCTGGTCCCTTCCTCCCAAGGGTGCGCTGGATAAGGTTGTACCTGGAAGCTTGGACATAGTCACAGGGGGAGGCAATCTCTCCCTCACCACCCGGGCACCACCCACCTCTGACACTGCTCGGGCCACTGATCGACACATGGCATCGTGCCCAGCCCACAGCTGTTTCAGCAGCTCCAGACTGAGCAGCCTAAGCTGAACGGGGTCTTCAGTCTCTGCCATCTTGGGCGTGGGTCACGGCTTTTCATTCAACATCACTGGCCTCGGGCTGCAGGATCCCCACAGGAAGTGCTCAGGCTAGGTTCCACCTGAAGTCAAAGCATTGATGACAAAAGATGAGGGCGGGAACGTGTCACATAGGCCTGAATACAAACAGTTACCAGGAGCCGGGTGGTGGTGGCCCACGCCTTTAATCCCAGCACTCGGGAGGCAGAGGCAGGCTGATCTCGGTGAGTTCGAGGCCGGGCTGGACCGATAGCCTTCGAAACAATACAGAGAAACCCTGTCTCGTAAAAACCAAAAAAAAAAAAAAAAAAAAAAAACAGGTCACTTAACCTCTCTGTGCCTCTTGTCCTAAGCTGCTAAACAGGGTAGCATAGGGTTTACCCTACCATGCTGCCACTGGAGCCACACAGGAGGGTGCGTGTTAAACCCTAGGACATTACTACTAAGCCAGCCAGGATGTCTAGAAAGTCTCCAGCATTCTTCACTGCAATCTGCTTTTCGGGCCAGCTGTGCTATTTCTTTCTCTCCAAAGACCACATCTCAGGATGCTGTGGGGGGCTGTTTTTGAATGAATATGGACAACAGGAAAAGCCTGCCTGCCGAGAGACTAAGACTGCCACTGGGCCTTCCTTGTGTAATCTGGTTCCTGGGGCCTGCGAGATGGCTCAGTGGGTAAAGGTGCTTGTGGCCAAGCTTGACAATGTGAGTTCAATCCTCAGGGCCTACATGGTGAACGGAGAGAACTGGCTCCCACGAATGTCTTCTTACCTCCGTACATGTGTGGTGGCATGCGCTTGCCCATACCCACACACAAATAAAAAATACGTTTTTAAATATAATCTGATTCCTTTACCATACAGACTAGTACAGAGTGCCAACTCAGAGCTTAATAACTTGTTATCTGGTGCTGGCACTGAACCCAGGACCTGCAGCATTAAGCCTGTTCTCTGACACAAAGCTACCCCCAGACATTTTGTTTTTGTGTGTGCACACGTGTACCCTAAGGTCACATAGCTAGTGAATGTTAAAGCAGGTTTGAACTAAAATGTAAGTTCCTGGTTGCTGTGCAGTTGGCTGCTCCCCCTGACATTCAAGCATCTCCCTCGTGGTGGGAGGAGAGAGTTTCCTCAGAAAGTTGCAAGATTTTATGGCTTACACAATGGCTAGAGACAGAAGACTCCGGAGCGGAGCCGCCTGCACGCTGTACAGGGGTGAATCAGAACCCATGCTAGGTAGATTTGTCAGTGTGTGGCTGCTTGCCTTTGGGTCAAATAAGTTCCCGGAGTGACTCCAATACACTCATTGGTTCACCAGCTATAGTTGAGTGGAATCATTTCTCTGCTCTCTTGGCTGTGCTCTGGGGCAAAGAGACCTTTCTTGACATATGATTGCCGACTAAGGGTCTGCACTTCGGGAAAGCCTGGCCCTAACAGGGTTAGTAGGATCCTGCGAAACCTCCCACTTCCCTAGCCAGCTTCGATCCTTCAGCTCAGGGACACCCCCTTTGCTTCTGCAGTGTAGGGAAGCGCTTTCCACTTCTTTTACAACCACAGGTCCAGACTCCCCCACCAGCACCAGAGCTTTAACTCCGGGTTGGGCCAGAACCCCTGCTCTGTCCCAGCTCTGCCACCCGACAAGCCCCCTGGGGACTCGGGTCTCCACGCAGTCTGCAGGGGGCGAGCAGAGAAGCAGACCCCAGCCTCTCACTCACGCGCACCCGAGCAGGGTGCACATCGGAACTGGGCGCTTGCCCCTTCGCTACCTGGTCTAGCCGGGCATAGGAACATTCCTCTGGTCCCAAGATCAGTGGCTACTTTGGGTAAGAGAACTCGGACGCTCTGCACCCGGAAGCCCAGGTCCCCAGCAGCTCGGGGCTCCGCCTCCTCTGGGCGGGGTCTCCGATGGTTGTCCTAATTGGGTAGTGGTGGGGCGGGGCCTCCGCCAGCTGTCCTGATTGGCCAACTGGCGGAGCAAGGACGCCAGACAAACGTTATTCGCATCCGGAAGCGGCAGTTTCAATCTGGGGGTGGGACTAATGGCCCCTCACTGCTGATTTGTTAACTGATAAAGGTCAAGTCTATCAACTCGAATTTTACTCACTGGAAAGACCACGACTACGGGTTGCGATTGGCCAATGTGGCCCGGTACGTAATTTCCGGATGATTGTGAAGCTGTGAGTGGCTGCGGATGGGCGGGACAAGCGACGAGGGCAATGCATTCCACTGTTGAAGCTTTTTAAAAGGTTAGGCTTGCTTCAGAATGCCGGCTGCTCTCGGTTGGTGGGGGAGGGTGGGTTTACAGACGTGCCCTATTAGGCCTGCTTTCTTTTAACACGCCAGGTCTTTGTGAAGTGCCTACTTTGTGCCAGAGATACTGGAAGACAAAGATTTAAAAGAGTGGAGATAGAGGAAGAGAACTCAACTGGCAAAATTACAACATAGATACCAAAAGTCTGGTCCTGTAAACCAAAACCAAAGCTAGCCGAGTATGTTGGCGCACTCCTTTATTCCCAGCACTCGGGGAAGCAGAGGCAGGTGGATCTCTGTGAGTTTAAAGTAAATTTCAGGACAGCCAGAGATACACGGAGAAACCCTGTCTCCAAAAAAAAAAAAAAAAAAAAAAAAAAAAACAGGATTTAAGCCAAAATTTAATGTAGCTCAGACTGGCCTCAAACTGGCTGTCATGAGGATGACCTTGACTGACTCCGTTCTAGCCCTGCAGCCTCTGCCCTCCCTACTCCCCCCATCCCACCCCCATGCTAATAATAGGATTATAGGCCTGGAGAGATGGCTCAGCGGTTAAGAGCATTGACTGTTCTTCCAAAGGTCCTGAGTTCAATTACCAGCAACCACATGGTGGCTCGCAACCACCTTGAATGAGCTCTGATGCCCTCTGCTGTCATGCAAGCAGAAGATTGCATACATAATAAATAATAATAATAATAATAGAACTATAAACATATTCCAGCATACAGTTTGTGTGGTGCTGGGGTCTGAACCCGTGAACCTGGAGCTCTGTGCATGGAAGTGTGTTGGTACCTTAGTGTTTTTAATACCCCGGAGCTGTTAGCCATTCTCCATTCTCTCTGTCACTGAGTCAGATGCCCATCCTGCCCCAGGAAAAGGTCTCAGAGGACCTTTGAAATATGCATCCTGGAATTTATTGTAAGGGGCCTGTTTTGTCCTTACTGTCTGCATTCACCAAGTATAATTTGCTGATATTGCATGTGCCTATTCTGTGCCGGGCATGGGGGCCAGGGGCAGAGATGAAGTGCTCCACAAGAAAGAGCCTCACAGTCAGTGTGATTCCATGGGCCTGCTAAGGCACACTTCAACCCAGCACTCAGCAGGCAAGGGGCAGGCAGGAGCTCAAGACCAGCCTGGTCTGCATCATGAGTTCCAGGACAGCCAGGGCTACGTAGTGAGATCCTGTCTCAAAACAGAAACAACACAATTTACTGTGTCAACAGACAAGACGTCAAAGCCAAATCATCTCCCTAGACAGAAAGCCCATTAGGCCTGGTCCTTTTCTTAGGGGTTGGACACGGGCAGCATCCTGATCTTTTCTCTTGGGGTCTTGCAGCATCTGAGGAAGTCTGATGTATTTTCTGAGGGTGGTGGTGCATGACAGGAAAGCAGAGGCCACAAGGGTCCTGAATAGAGGCAAACCAAAACCAAAGCCAGGTGTGGCGGCACACACTTTGAATCCGGGGCTCAAGAGGCAGGGTCTCTGTGAGTTCGAGGCCAGCTGGACTATATAGTGAGTTCCAGGCCAGCGGGGCTACGAAGTGAGACCCTGGCTTAAAGCAGAAACAAACAAGACAAATGGCTAGCGGCGCTGTGGTGCGCCCCACCCCTGCTTAATTACAGCGCTCAAGAGGCAGGGGCAGGTCCATCTGGTTCAAGGCCAGCCTGGTCTACAGAGCAAGTTCCAGGACAGCCAAGGCTACACAGAGAAACTATCTTGAAAAACAAAACAAAAACAAAAAGCAAACAAAAAAAAAAGAAAAAGGCTCTCTCCACCATGTGGGGCCTGAGGTTCATTAGGGTTGGAGGCAATTGCCTTCCCCTGCTGAGCTATCTCGATAGCCCTACAACCCAAATTTTTAAGTGTTCCAACACTTAAAACAGATGCTCAACAGACGTCTCGCTAAAGAGAGAGAGAGAGAGAGAGAGAGAGAGAGAGAGAGAGAGAGAGAGAGAGAGAGAGAGATGAACTCATAAAAAGGGAGAAAAGGGCAAGAAGAAAACAGACAAAAAATCTGAAGGTTACCTTTGGTGTCAGCTCTACCGAAGAAACGCATCATTGTTAGAGGCGGGTCCACAGATGATTGACAGGTGGGGCAGCAACTGATCAGAGGAAGAGGCGCCCTCAATGTAGGCGGCGCGTTTCTACTGGCGGCAAAGACTAAGTCAGAGGGAGGAACTGCTTTGCCACCGTCGATGTCTTCTCTGACCTCTTTGACCTTTCAACGTGGCCTCCACACCAACAGTTCCCCAGGGTGCTCTTAGACCCCCTGCAGCAGCGACTTAGAATTTGGATCCGTGGCAGCCGGGTTCTAGAGACAGGGATGATTTTCCTTTGTGTGCTTGGAGGTGTCTGGAGCTGGCTCTTCAAACCTGAAGTTGCCATTGACTCTCCGGACAGTGCAGAGAACACTGATGGTGTGAGCTGCTGAAAAAGATAAATGTGGCCGGGCGGGGGCACGCCTTTAATCCCAGCACTCGGGAGGCAGAGGCAGGCGGATCTCTGTGAGTTCGAGGCCAGCCTGGTCTACAGAGAGCTAGTTTCAGGACAGCCTCCAAAGCCGCAGAGAAACCCTGTCTCAAAAATAAGTAAGTAAGTAAATAAATAAATGTGACTGACTCCCCCCACCCACCACCATTCATGCTTTTTGATCGGTAAGGGACTTTGGAACATTTCTGGAGGATAAGGGAATTTGATGCCATTGCCGAGCTGCTTCTGGCATCTCTGCATAAAGTAACAAAGGGACCAACTTAGCGATGAAATTTCCCAGCTCTGGATGCACAAATAAAAGATCTAAAGATTTCTAAGTGTCCTGGGAGAGATGCTCCAGCCACAGGATTGGGAGATTAGCTGATTTAGATTGCAAGGTCAAGTGTCAGTCACCTCGTAAGTAAGGTGTCTGCAGGTAAAGTGAGTGAAGTGACCAAGAATGGGGTCCTGTAGCGGGATGGAGACGTGTGGGAGGACGCTGGCTCTGATGGAACTGAGAAAGCAGGCTTGCCCACTGCGGAGTTAGCCTCTCCATCCCTGCCTGAGGGGAAGGGATTCTGTCTTGTTAAAGGGCATGCCAAGCAGGACAAAGTCCTCAGAACCAGTCCTCACCACCCTTAGTCACTTCTGGATCTGTGACCAGACCCAAGTCTATCTATCCCTGTAAGTCAGAAACCTACACGCCCTAAGAACTTGAATTGCTTGCTAATGCAAACAGTCAAAGGACCAACCATGTAGGGAATGGATTTTAAGGTGGGAGGCTCACAATACTGGGTCAGACTGAATTTGCCTGTGTAGGTTTAATGTTTTAATTTAACATCATAGCTCACACTGTAGAAGAAAATGGGGTCAAGAATTTGCTTGGTTGGCTGAAGCATGGGCCCAAAGATGGCCTACTATGACAAAGTTGCCAGTGCCTGATGTCCTGTGGTGGCATTCTATTGATGATGGGATTTTAAAAATTAGGGAACTCAGAATGGTGGAGTGGTCTTTGTGTAAAAGTTCTTGTGCAATGGAGGGACCCAGAAGATGTACCCATCACTAGACCTATGTGTTATGGTGGAAGCTTCATCCCCAGCCGCTGGCATCCATAGACCCAAAGAGTCTGGAATGTTATGGTGCAAGTTCCACCCAAGCCCCCCTCTCCTATCTCTCTCCAAACCCTGCTGCATCTCAGAAAGTCCGCCAAATGATGACCCCCACCCCAGAGATGCTCAAGACCACTCCCACAGGGTATTTAAAGTGACCACCAGAAAATGGATGCATGGTTTTCCAGTCTCCCTTTCCCAACTCTCTTGGGGATTGGAAAGGCCACCTGGGAGTGTTGCATCCATTAAATGTGGGCTTCTTCTAATTGCTTGATGTGGTCTGATTTGGATTGCTGCATCGGCGGAGAGGCTTATGAGGGTGTAGGAACTTTTCACTACGAGGTTAGATTTTGTCAGTGGAACAACAAAGACCTAGAAGAGCTTTGTGTTTGGCCTTCCCTGTGTACCGGACCCAGCAGTGGGAGTCACTGTGCCCAGCTGATTGAGTATGCTCATAAAAATGGACTTGTCTCATTTCAGCACGAAACGATAATTCTAGCACTAAGGTGGCTAAGGCAGAATTTTAGGGGGTTGAGGACAGCTTGGGCTACACCGAGGGACCTTGTCTCAAAAATGTCGTGGGGCCTGGGAGATGGCTCATCAGGTAAATCGCTTTAGCTGTGAGACTTGAGGACTCTGGGTTCAATCAGTAGGAGCCGTTTAAAAGCCAGACGTGACTCACCTCTGAAACCCTAGCCCTTCGGGTAAGACTGGGGAAGGCAGGTGGAGACAGAGTGGCCTGTCAGCTCTCTGGCCAGTCTGGAGCATGTTTGGAAGCAAAGAGGTACCCTCCCTCAACAAGGTGGGGGTGGGGGAGTGGTAAGGTCAGACTTGTGATCTCCGTATGCATGATACCAGTGTGTGGGCAGGCACAGTTTTCAAGAGGGGTGTGTGCTGGGATGTAGCTCAGATGGCAGAGTGCTGTGTAGAGTGCACAGATCCCTGGGTTTCATCCCAGCACTCAGAAGGCAGAGGCAGGCAGATCCCTGTGAGTTCAAGGGTAGCCTGGTCTACTACAGGGTCACAAGGCTATATAAGAAGAAAAAAATGGGGGTATAGAGATGGCTCAGTGTTGAGAGACTTTGCTGCATAATCATGACAACTGTTTTTTTTTTTTTTTTTGGATCCCAGAATCTACATAGCAACTAAGCATCTCTCTCTCTGTCTCTGTCTCTGTCTCTCTCTCTCTCTACACA